ATAAACCCTAGCAATTCCTTATCTTGGATTTCACAGACTATAAAGTGCTCCCACACATATGTGATCTCCTTTGATGCCTACTCCTATGAGGTAGGCAGGGAGGAACAATTCTCACTCAGCAGATGAAGGAAGGGACTCTCAGAAATCTTCGGGTCACATGGCTTGTGGCAAGTGGCAAAGCAAGGAATCGGTGTTCCCCCAGTGCTCAGTCTGGTGCCCTTCTGCTTTTCAGTAAGGAATCCCAAACAGCAGGGTCCTGTAGCACCCTCCACATCTCTATTCTGCCAGAGATGGCACCTCCGCAGGGCGTGGATCAGAGTCCTGACCTGCTCTCACCCTGATGTAGCGGTTCGTTTGGTCCTGATGGGAAAGTGTGTATAGGCCAAGAAACATGGTGAGCTTCCAGGCCTGCAGTGAGGATCAAAGCCCAGCCTCAGCGTACCAGACCCTGCTTCCACAATGTTCCCCTAGTCCTGAAAATCCTGTGAACCTCCCAACCACTTTATTGCTGGAGCACAGAGAAGGTTCACCTCAGCTTTCTCTGGACACCATGGAAATGGACAGAACTTCCAAGTTCCAGGAGGAGCTCTTGCTAATTCAAGACTAGCATAAGTTAGTAAGGAAGACCAAAGCCTTTGGGATCTGAGGGTCTGTTGGGCATTAGAAGTTTGTAATTCCATGCCTTAGGGAATTATTTGATAGCTACAGCATTCTAGTGTGGACAGGCCTGGATATGACTAAGGTCTTTATAGGAATCACGTGGTTAATGGCCCACAGCGGGGAAGTCAGTGGTTATTCATGGCAGATGTGGATTTTCTCAATTCCGGGAATTTTTCTAGTGAAGACTTGCCCACTGATACAACTTGGCCCCTTTTTAATGGAGTGGTTTGCTTAGCTTTTCTCTGATAGAACAAGCCAAACTGGGCCTCATTGTCCAAGCATCCTAGGATTTATTTTTCACTAAAGATCCACGTGATAAGATGATTATTTTGTTAATTGGAATGGATGTAAGGGAGGATCAAAACTCTGACTTCCAGTACCTTGGCTATACCAGACAGGTGAGCATCTCATTCTTGAATGGCTTTATAGACAATGAGTCTAAAAGCGAAACAATGGAGACAAAAATTGCCACAGTAATCAACTTTCTTCCAACCTATCATCAAGAAAGGTTCATTGTCAAGGTAGAAAAGCCCTTTCTCAGTCATCCTTTTTGCAAGCCACTCCAGAAAAGCCTCACTTGGACAGTGTCCGAGTTTAAAAAGCCCTGCAATTGAAGTGTTTAAAGTGTTGTGCAATTTCTAGAGGAGAGGCAGTCTGAAGGAAACCCTGAGCCAGGATTCCAAGGACTTGGCCTCTCATCCCAGCTTTGCTATATATGCAGTATGTGACTTCCATCAAAGCTCCTCACCTCTCTGAACCTCAGTCTTTGCAGAGGTAAATAGGAATGATAGTACCTGCCCTATGTACCTAAGAAATGACAATCAAGTAAGGTAATGGACATGAATGTTTTGTAAATCACCTTTAAAGGTGGTACTGCAATAGAAGGAAGGAATCAGATCTGCATTCCAGTTCTTTCATAAGCATCTTCTGTCAACCATTCTCATTGCCTATGGAGTGGAGCATGTAAAACTGACTCTTTTCAGGGAAATGCTTGAGGCTGTGACAGATTTAGATTCTAATCCAGTTACTACTAATTTACCCTGTGATTTAGGCAAATAACTACCTCTCTGGGTCCCAGTTTCTTCATCCATAAAATAGGAATAATAATACCTCCCTTATTTTTTCTTTGGAAAATGGGAATAGTAGTTGCCCTACTTTCTTCCCCTATACACTGAAAATGGTAATAGTAGCCAGTCTGTTCTCCTCAGCAGTGAAATAAGTGGGTTGCCTTGTTGATTTGCATATAATACAGACTTGACATACTTCACAGGATTGGTGGTTCTATTAAACAGGTATATTAAATTGCTCTGTAGAAATAAATTCTAGACCAATGTCAGACATCATTCATTCAGTAAACCTTTATGGGGTGTCTATTATACGACACTTCATGGGGAGAGGAAGTGATACAGTTCCTGCTCTCATGGAGCTTATAGTCTAGTGGGGGAGATAATTGTTAATCCAATAATCACATGGAAGACTGTATACAGTAAGCAGAACTTCTGAGTAAATATAATATGAATGATCTTTCAGCTCCAGAACACAATTGAGGTGTGAATGACATTCCTCCCCATGCAGAAGCTCCAGAGGCCGCCAAAGTGGAGGAAATGTTATCTGATGCTGGTTCACCAGGTAGAGGCTTCCTAGAATCAGAGAGAGGCATTCCTCTCCTTACTATTCCCTACTACTCAGTTTGGGCTAACATAATTCAGTTTGGAGGAGGAGGGGTTAGCTTTTATCTTGGTAATTTTAATTTGATCAAAATTAAGGTTGTCAAGAGGGGAGAACCCAATTTTTATGAAATAAGGACTCTTGTCCCAATGCCAACCTATTACAACCCACACCATCACCCCAGCAGCTCCAGGGAAGGACATGTTAGCCAAGAATAATTGAAGGCAGGAAGGGGTCAGACCAGCAAAGGGCTGTTGGCATAGCACATCCCACCTTCCAAGAGGCTCCTCACCTGGAACAAGGGAGGGAGCACACACTCCCGAAATGTCAGAGCCGGAGATCAGAAGTGCTTACTGATCCCCACTGTGGTCATTTGTTTTCCAAGAACACTTAGTGGAACATTAACCCTCTTCATTCCTGAGGAGATGAGATCTCTTCAGAAATATCCACCTCTACTTCCTCCTTCAATAGCCATTCCTGGCTCTGAGCAACACCCAGCTGTTCCCAGCCTCCCCTTTCAGCACCTTAAAGACCAAAGTCAAACTTTGTTTTTCTCTTATATTGATTGTGTTTCTAACCCCTTGAGCTAATTTTATAACCTGAGTTGTATTTGCCCCCTTGGCTGGCTTTAATGTCCTACAGATTACTCTTCTGATAACTTCCTCCTAGGCAAGGACTTCACTATCACTTTTCCATGCTATTGGCAATTCCCTCTCCAGTGCTCAGCTCCCGGCACCTGGTGTCTTCCAGGGTACAGCAGCACGTTCAGTTTGGCAGGTGAAGGGTACTGTGACATGGTGACTCTGTCCTGGACTTCTGGGATACTACCAGAAGGCCTTTTCATCTCCACTAAGCCAATATTCATGCAAAGCACATATGATGACTGGTGGAGGAGAGTGGAAAGAGTTCCTCATTCATGTCATAAGACTTTATGTCAACATACGCAAAAAGGAAAAGCCTTTAAGAATTGGTATCACCCAGAATCTCATTTTTCTCTCTCTCTTTGCCTGATGTTTGTTTAGATCACAGATTTGAACAGGAGGGATTGTTTCTTCTTTTAGTTTAATTTCTGTACACAGCCCTGTTCTGTTTGGGTAGACTATGCGTGCTAGGACAAGGAGGGCATGCTTGAGACAGAAATGTGTTTTCTTCACATCTGAATCCAGTGGTGGGCCCGTGCCCTCTGAGTTTGTATTTCAGTCTTAACCACTCCTCACTGCTTTGGGGCCTGTGGGACCCCTTCCCTCTCCCTTTACTCATTCCACACTGCAATTTTTTAGTTTGAAAAGGAGCAGCATATACTGAATCCCAGAGGAAAAGAGTATTATGGTATGAATATTCTCCTCTCTTCTCCTTTAACTGAAATAATTGGATCCATGGCCTAAGATTAAATTTTGAATTTTGGTTTACAAGAGGAAGTTTCAGGACTGGATTGAGGTTAAGTTATGGGTGAGATCTGAAAGTCAGTTTTTGAAAGTTGAGCATACCATTATCTTTGCTTCTTGCCCCAGGCCATTAGTGGGGCAGCTGGGTGGGCCTCTAAGTGAAGGCCTCAAAACACCTGATCACCACCTTGAATCACAAGAAGTGGACAAATGAAAGCTTGTGGGAGAGCACATCAGGAGCTGCCCCCACACTCCAGCTCCTCCCCTGCCCAGCACACACATCCCACTAGCCAACCATTCAGTTCCTTGCTTCCCACCTCACGTCTCAGGAGAAAACCAGCTTCTTGCCCACAGAAGTGAAGTGGATTCGTGGGAAGAGCACTGGATTAAGCATCAGGAGACCAACTTCTAGATCCGATTTTACCCATCAGTAGCTGTGAAATTTGGAGAAAGCCACTTAACCCCTCTGTGTCTTAGGCTCTTAGTTTGTAAAATAGAGTGGGAAATACCTGTCCTTTCCCCTTTTCCGGAATTTCATAATGTTGTGACAGTCACATGAAACAATAGAAGGGAACGACCTTTGGACGAATACAGTGCTGCACCTTTGCATGTATTGCAGTCCTGCAAACCACTTCCAACTACAAGGACTTTTTATGGGTTATTTCGTATTCCTCACCAAGCGTAGGGCTGTCATGTCTGGGGAAGAGGCCAGCCAGGAGTGCTATCCATGCTCATAGGTCTTGAAAATCCCCAGTTATGGGGGTGTGGCTGCAACCTGTCCAAAATGTATTGCCCTTCAACTCATTTTTGAAGATTTCTAACCAGCAGAACAGTCTCTGAGAGCAGCCTACTTTTCCAGCCCTGCCATTTCCAGCCAATCTTCAGACCTTTGTCACCTTGGGTAGATCACATGCAGCCCAGTCAGAGGGTCCTGAGGTTCAATACCTGAGCCACCGCTTACTACTTTGTGTCCTGTGCACTTGGTATCTCTGAGACTCAGCTTCCTCCTCTGAAAAATGGGAGAAGTGATACCTGATTCCGTAAGGTTGTCTTGAGGATTAGAGGAAATATGTAAAGCACTTGACCAAGTTCCTTATCTCTACATGTTCATTGTCTACTCCTCTTTCCCCTACTTTCAGCAAGAATTATTGCTAGACACACCTGACTGAAAGTGATGTGCACATCCCAAAGGCATGTTAGAATCATATCAGAGGTGAGACCACCCATGTAAACACCGGTCCTGCTGACCACGCTCTCTCCACTGTCTCTCCTTGGTGCCTCATGCAGGGAACATTATCGGCTCTGGAATCTTCGTCTCACCAAAAGGAGTGCTGGAGAATGCCGGCTCTGTGGGCCTTGCTCTCATTGTCTGGATCGTGACGGGTATCATCACAGCTGTAGGAGCCCTATGCTATGCTGAGCTCGGGGTCACCATCCCCAAATCTGGAGGTGACTACTCATACGTCAAGGACATCTTCGGAGGACTGGCTGGGTAAGAGGATCTGCGGAGGCCCTTGTGGTCTAACAAGCAGAGGCCAGTGCTTTCCAGTGGGCTAAGGGGAGCTAGAGAATGGGATTCCTCTTTTCCTTCCATGTCATGGTTGCTAGTATATCCTTGTTTCCCCTTGATGCTCCCAGGAGTGGCAGAAGAACCAGGTTGTAGATTCTTCTACTCTTTGCTGACCGTAGTGGGCAAGACTTTATGAATGAGAGTGAACAGAACTGTATGCTGACACTGGCCACAGACTCCCACCAAAAAAGAAAGCCGTTGTTCTGGGCAAATGCGAAGGACCACCTCAGAGCTGGGGTGCCCTCTTCTCACATTACCAAGGATAATGGCCTGCTGTAGAGCCAGGCCCTGATCTTGAATTTCCAGCTTCTGCAGCCCTGCTACTGAAGGGCTCAGCCCTTGCCAAGGAGCCCCAGGGCGTGGAGGGCACTTCCCCCTCAAGGCCCCATTCAGTGCCTCCCCTGGCAGTTACTTAAATGGCCACACCCTGATTGTGTCCCGGGGGTCAGAATTTCGGGGTTGTGACTTTTATTTTTCACTACTGGATGCTGGAGCCAGAGTGGGAGAGAAGAGGTGTTGAAAACAGAAGGAGAGAGACAGAGAATGCCCAGACGTCGCTCTTACTAGCGGAAACTCCGCTCTTCATCATCAAGCCACTTGATTGTCGGTGCAGAGGGCTGTGGGTGTCGTTTGAGTGTGGGTTTGGACTCTTCAACATCCTTGAAAACAAAAAGGAAAGGCACCCCATTAGCCCACCTGCCTTTCCTACTGCTGCCCAGTGACTCGCCTAGGCCTCCCTGATGACTTCGGAGTCCCTGGTCTGCCTGGTGGAGGGTGGGGGCCTTCATTGCTGTCTTGGGTCAAGTCCTGTCCTGTCCCCCTTTAGGTTCCTGAGGCTGTGGATTGCTGTGCTGGTGATCTACCCCACCAACCAGGCTGTCATCGCCCTCACCTTCTCCAACTACGTGCTTCAGCCGCTCTTCCCCACCTGCTTCCCCCCAGATTCTGGCCTTCGTATCCTGGCTGGCATCTGCTTATGTAAGTGCCATCTGGGCCTTGCTATCAGGATGGCCTCTTTTAGCCTGCCAGGGAGTAGGGAGGCCTACATGTCTCTGCTTCTATTTCTTTTCTCTCTTTTGTTTTTTTTCCCCTGTTACTTTACTTATGAAATACAAAAAAAAAAAAGTTACTTTTCTTTCAATTTCCTACAAGTGTGCTTTGAATGAATGGATTCTGCATATAATTATCTAGTATTAAAAAAAAAAAGAAACTTAAATCACTGCTTAGAAGCATAGTAATTTTCACTGGCAGGGTTCTTTACATTATACAAAGCACTTTCACCTATGTTATCTGATCTGAGCCTAATGACAAATCAATGAGATAGGGAGGGCTAGTATTGTTATTTTCCTAGAGCAGATAAGGAGAAGAGCCAGGCAAGTGACTTTCCCAAGGCAGCAGGCCCTGTTCCTCATTCCTTCTCTGTCTGGCACACGCACTGTGCTGGGGCTCCCTGTGGCTCAGAGGAATATTTTTCTGGCCTCATCCACCCCCGCCTGAACCTGCCAGCTCACATCTTAAAACTCTTTCAAAGGAGAGTGTAAAGGTTTGAGTTGGGAGAAAATTAATGTATTTCTCATGGTCCCCACCCTTGATAAGTTTTCTGTTTAACTGGGGAGAAATGTCATATAGAAAGATTTTGTGTTTAGGATTCAATTGCAGTAAAAATTCAGAAGGGGAAAAGATATCTGTCAGCAGGAGTAGGTTAGAGAGGCTCTATAGAGTTCTGCAAACTGTATTTCTAGGAAGTCTCAACATTTAGTCTCTGATATCAGGAATCTCAATGGATTGAGTACTTTATATCTTATAACTCAAAACCAATTCTTAAAGTGAATATTTGGGTTTTTTCAGAGGCTCTTCTTGAGTTAGCTCAGTCCCTGCCTTCCCACACCTTCCCTTCCAACACACATACACTTAGCTGAGAGTAGTGACCATCTTGGCTACCTCCTTCCCAGATCTTGACACTTTCCTTCTGTCCTACTGGTAAAGGAGGAGGAGGGCAGGGTCACTGACACCACCCGCAGAGCCTCTCACAGGGCAGCCAGCTGGGATCCAAGGGGTGGTCTCCTTGGTAGTGTGCCTCTTTGACAGGTGTGTTCAGCTCCGGGATAGACTCCTGCCAGCCGAGCAAATGGTACCATGGGACTGAGACTCTTATTTGGGGTGTATTCCTTGTGCTTGGTCAGGCCTGCTCCGGCACCTGGAGGTAGAGAAATGTGGGCACCAGAGCTAGGTTGCCTGAGGTCGCAACTCTGCACCACTCTCTAATTGTGGCAAGTGCTTGGCAAAGTTACCCACCCCGCCCCACTGTGAGATGAGGGTTGTCATCCTGCCAGCAGTGGTGTCTGTGGCTGTGAGGATTACAGCACGGGATCGGGCAGCTCGTGGCCCCATCCTATAGTCGCTGAGGGTGATCACTGAGGGTAGTCACTTGGCCTGTGCTTGCTAGCTGGTAGCTGGGTCCACAGCTGGCAGAGGGATGGCAGGGTTGGGAATGCAGGAACAGTTGCTGTTTCTACCATCAGACAGACTAACGGGTGGAAAGTGGGGCCACGTAAGTGCTGCCCGCTGCTGTTTCAGCATCTTGTGGACAAGGGCATAGCTTCCTTTTTCCTGCTGATGCTGCTAACATGTCTCAGACTAGAGGTCACCTTTACCCTCCAGCTGAAAACCAATAACCCTGAGGCTGTTCAGTCTGCTCCCTAGGAGAAGAAGTAGGCCCCAGGGTGGAGTTCCCCAGCAGCTGCCTCCACAGCTTCTTTCGCATGCCCTAAACCCACCAAGGGTAGGCTACCCTCGTGCAAAGACTTTTAGTAGTAGTGTAGCCCTATAGATATCCCCTCAGGCCAGACGGGCCAAGCCGCCAGGGAGATAAGGGCCGCTCCTGCCTGCAGCCCAGCTCCAGAAAGATAGGTCGTACACAGTCCCCTCTGTAGCCCACTCCTCAGCTGCATACTGGTAGCACCAAGCCAGGATGAAATTTAGAAACTCTGAGGACAAAAATGACAAGATCCTCCCCTCTCCCGATTCCTGCCATCAAAAGTTCAATAAAGCTTTTTCTGGCCTGCCCTCTGCCTCCTAAGAAGAACTACAAAGAATTATCTCCAGTTCAGCAGTGGTCAATCTTGTCCTCCAGAGACAGGAATTTTTCAATGTCCTTGAAATCTGTGTTCAAGTACTTTTCCATCTTCATAAGCAGAAAAATCTTCTTAAACCCAAACTTATTCCTCCTTATTTCCTTTGGAGGAAATGGAAAGCAACTCCTCACCTCACCGTGTGCGTTTGCCCTTTCCTCCCAAGTGTGAAGGCCATGTGGTTCCCCAACTGCTCTCCCTGCGGTGGGTGCACACATGGATATAGCCACACACACTTGCTCAGCAGACACTCCTAGCTGCTTTGAGTCTGTGTGAAAAAGTTCTATTTGTTGAATACTTTTTTATTGTTTTTTGGAGCCCACTTCTACAGGCCGCTTAAATTGTCTCTTGAGGTATCCAGTAAAACAGGAACCAGGCTGTCAGGAAGGCTTAGTGGGTGTCTCTCTTCTAAATGCCTGTCTTTTATTCCAGCACCCCATCCTCTTGACAGGGGCCAGGCCAGCTGTGTAAAGTAGATCCAGTGCTCTTTGGCAGGGGAACCAAGAGGGTCCAGTGCAGAGGTGTTCTGGAGAGAAGCAGTAGACAGCTTGGGGACGGTCTGAATGTATTTGTATGAGAAGCTCTGCTTTCTGCTGTTATTTTTGACATGTAGTGATCGGCTTGACCCACTGGGGGGAATGAAAGTTTTTGAGGGAAAGGTACCCTCTGCGGAGAGGTCACTGGTGTGTGATGGAGAGCCTGAGGTTGAGGGAGCCTGAGGACAGGGTACCAAGCCCGGCGGGGAAGCACCTGGCCGGGGCGCGTGGGAAGAAGGAGATTAGGTCAAGGCTGTTTCGCTGGTGGGGCTGTTTGGACTAGATCAGATGAGAAATGATGGGAGGATTAGCCGAAGGGGGTGGGGTGGAGAGGCAGAAAGAACCTGCCGAGACTAGCTTGCCTGCGCTTGCCTGGGGGCGGGGCCGGCGCAGAAGGAAGCGCGGATTTGGTCTTACGCAACTGCAGCTGCCACTCGCAGCCATTTTATTATGTAGGTCAAGCTGACTGTTCACTGCTGAGCCAGCAGAAATCCCTAGCCACCCAGCAGTAAAAGAAGAATTTCACATTTTAATTAAATGAAAAGCCTTTCTCCCTTCTCCAGAGCAAGCATATTAGTGAGAGGGGGAAGCTAGAACAGAGGGGAACAAGAGATGTTAAAATCTGGTTTTAGCACCTTCTTTTTATTTTATTTATTTTTTTATTAAAGTATCATCGATATACACCCTTATGAAGGTTTCACAAGAAAAACAATGTGGTTATTACATTCACCCTTATTATCGAGTCCCCCCACATACCCCATTGCAGTCACTGTCCATCAGTGTAGTAAGATGCCAGAGTTAGCACCTTCTTTTGTGATTTGCTTGAGTCTTTCATTCCTCCCATTTCTTTTCTTTCTTTCTTTCTTTCTTTCTTTCTTTCTTTCTTTCTTTCTTTCTTTCTTTCAAAGAAAGAAAGAAAGAAAGAAAGAAAGAACCTTTTTCTTTTTATATCTCATAAGTAAATGACTATATTCTCTAGGTGAAAGATTCAAGTAATATATAAAGAAAATCGACTGTGAAAGCTTCTCTGTATCCTCACCCCTGTCCCCCCTCCGGCCCCCCAGTAGCCATGGTCACAATGGATAGATATCCTTACAGTTCTAAACAAAACGCATTCATCCACGTACATCTTCCGGTATATAAACACACACTGATAGGTTACTTCACAGCTTGCTCTATGACCATTTAGCTGCATCTTTTGGCTATTACCTGAATTTCTAGTTATAAACAAAGTGTTCCCATGACACAAATGGAGCATCCCCGATTTGTGCTTCTTGCTCCTAACTCAGATTTCCTTCGGGATCTATTTGTCCCCCCTCTCTTGGGGACTGGGCCACCTTTGAGTCAGGCAGCAGCTTCTGGCCTCCTTTCTCTCTTTTGGCCTGCAGTCACATCCAGCATCTAAAGTTTAGTTTTTTCTTCTCATTGAAATCCCCCCTTTCTCCCTGAACACTTTGTACTAAAGAAGGTCCTCCTTTCTCACCCTGACTAGAAAGGAGTACCCTGCCTACATTTCACAAGTAAAAACTGCTTGCCTTGTTTTCTATCTTTCTACTGAGATTCCAAAGAGGCTGGTTTTCCAGGACTTGTGGTTTCACTTTCCACCTTGAGCACTTTGGAAGAGAAAGGACCTCACCGCATGTATCGCTTTTAGCCCTGAGTGGTTCTGCAGTTTCTATACGGGAAGTTTCCAGGTGCTTGATGCAGGATGCTGTGATGAACTTGCCTGGGTTGTTTTGCAAGTCTCTTGCAAATTAATCCCTTGACAGCAGAGGTTTCAACAATCTTTCCTAACTTCTAAACCCCTTAATCTCAGTTCATTTTCCTTTGAGATTTCTTATTCTCTAGCCCCCAACTTCTCATCCCCATGCACTAGGCCTACAGCTTCAGATACCTACATTTCTGTGGAGAGCCTCAGTCTCAAATTCCAGTAAGAAGAACAACTATTGATACAGTGCTTTACAGATTATATATCATAGTAAACAGTTAAAAGTATCACAAATAATACAAGAGTTTAATGAAGGTTTTCTTCCCTAGAGAGCAATTGGTGTTGGACACTTGTGCACATTGGTCTCAATCCAGTCTGTCCTCAAACCAGGCTCTTTACCCCCAGAGGTTACTGGAGCAGTCAGGGTCTCCTTTTTAGTTTCAATTTGCTTTAATTCCCAGGCCAAATCACATCTTCTTTCCTGGCTTCCCATAGTGTTTTTTCTGGTCACAAGCTGTAAGTCTCAGACTGTAGTTCTGATGTTCAAAGGGTATACTAACCCCAGTCCTGGAAACTGAGGAATGGGGAGCTTGTTCCTGGGAC